TGGCTAGACATTCGCCAGAAAAGGATTGGGGGATTATAGTGGATCACAATTTGAATATAAACCAACAGTGTGATGCAGTTGTGAAAAAGGCTAATATCATTTTGGGGTAAGACACGAGATGTAATTGTCCTGCTCTACTCAGCACTGGTGATGCATTAGCTGAGTATCATGTACAATTTCAAGCACCCCACTTTTAAGAAAGTTGTGGTCAAATTAGAGAGAGAGAGACCAGAAAACAGCAAAAATGATTAAAGGTTAGAAAACCTGACCTATAATGAAACATTTAAAAAACCAACTGGTCATGTGTAGTCTTGAGAACAGACTGGGGGCGGGGGGAGACCTAATAAGTTTTTAAATATTATAAGGCTGTCATAAAGAGGATTGTGATCAATTTTTCACTGTGTCCACTGATGGTAGGACAGGGAGTAATTGGCTTTATCTGAAACCAGGGAGATTTAGGTTAGATATTAGGGAAAAAATTCTAAGTATAATGGGTAGTTAAGCACTGGAATAGGTTACTAACAGAGCTTGTGGAGTCCCTGTCACTGGAGGGTTTTAAGAACAGGTTAGACAACACCTGTCAGGGATGGTCTAGGTTTATTTGGACATGCCTTAGTGCAGGGGGCTGGACTAAATGACTTCTTGAAGTCCCGTACAGCCCTACATTTCTATGATTCAACCTTTTATTCCAGAGCCCTTTCTTTGTCTTGTTGGGCCTTTGCTACCCATTTGAACTAGTACATGCAAATTACCCCATGGGTGGTATTTCTCTGGAGCTGTTTCCAATGTCAGGGGCTGCAGTAATCATCTCCCACTGTTTTTAGTTCCTGGAGGAGCTGTGGTAACCCTCTCCCATGGAGTTGAATACAATTCCTAGCTCACAATGATACATAGACTGTTCATTAATTTAATACAATATGGTCCCTGAAGACACTGCATGTGGCTGCAATATCTGTCACGTGGTATAATTATTTCACAACCCCAAAAAAACCACTGCAGCTTTTTGAAAACAGTCACCTAAATTAAATGGCATAGACTGGTGTGCTTTGAAATAACCAACATGAAAGTGCCTTCCAATAATTCATAGCATATTAGAGGTGAATGTGGTTGTTATTTACCATAAAATTTGGAAGGTGACATTACTGAAATAGTCCAGTTCTTCCTGGCTATTATTCATTAGAAGCTCTGTTAAATAGGCATTTTTATGTATTTACAGTCAAGCTGGAGCTGTTTGTTGATTCTCAGATCCTGTAATGACAGAGAGATCACATCAAGGCTGCATACCTACAGAGCAATGATCATTTTCTAAGAACTCTAATCAGGACTTGTTACTTCTGAGGCAATATAGGTGCTATATAGGATTTTTATGCATTTTATTATTAGACGAAATATTTCTAATATTCTATTTTTCAAAATTGTCCCAAAGAGCAACTAAAGAAGGAAGTGATTCAGTATCAAAACTATTCCAGAGAGTTTAGCTTTTTTGTAGCTTTATTATTCTGTAGCCAAATATGGCCACTTCCCCTTCCAGTCATGATTGCAAGGACCAGTTCCTATCTAATCCATAATGACACATTCCACATCCATTTGCAATCACAGGCTAACTAAAGCAATTGCATACATGGAAAAGTAGAGTTAGGAAAGCATTTAGCTGTCTTGAATGTGCTAAGTGTTGTGACCTACTTTTGAAAAAAAAGTTCATTGTGCTGTTGGCTTTTGCTCTTCTTTTAATCTCCCCCTCTCATCTGATCTGTTCATCGCATTTATGGGGGAAAGAGGAAAGCCAGCACCTTGTGACCAGTCAGCTTGCCATGGTCTAGCGCCAACATTCCAAACACCATAGGCCAGACTTAGGGGACCTCTGACCAAGAATAAATCTGGATGGATTGTATTTTTTAAAATAACATTAAACCAAGTGGCTTCTTTATACCAGTTAAATATACATGAGCCCATTCCAGCCCAGTCATGAAAGAGAATGGAGACATGGATGTGTTCCTCAGCCCACTCTACTGCCAAGCTTGCCATCTTCCCTTTCTACCTTGTAAATTGCTGCTTTATTATTCAGCATCTGACACTTTGCAAGCAATCCTTCTGAGTGGAAAGAGTCAGCAAGTTCTGGAGTAATCATACTGAAGCACCTTGCGCGTCTCAGATGCAAGCTCTGCAAGAGCACATAGAGAATATTGTGTGTTGGCCAAGAATATGGCCAGTGGTTTCTGAAAACTGTATATCATTGGCCAAAAACCTTCCTTGAGGTGTATGGAAGAAGGAAAAGAAAGAGAGGGTTTACGTGCAGCCATTTAAGTGTCAGAGATAGAGCAACTGTTGAGGTAAGTCTTAGCCTAATATCGTGAGACCTGTGGAAGCAGGACTCACGTCAGAAGCTAGTGGGAAACAGCAGAATAGTCAGTGGGACCTAACCTTGAGATGATGATGTTTTGAGAAGAGAAAGTGAGAAAATACTGGAATAGATAGCAAATAGCCTAAATAAAATGCAGATGTTTTAATTAATGCACATCACAAAGAGGTATAAATGCTTGTGTGATTTTCTTTGTACTTTGGAGAAACTGAGGCAGAGATGCTCTCTGCCAGCTGTATTCTTCCCTTGCAATTGCTTGAATAAAGCGGTCTCTGATTTTGTTGCTTCCAACCTGACAGTGGAGTTTGTTTCTTCCTCAGGTGATACAACCCTTTGTTCTGCAATAGCAGTTCTAGGCTGGTGCTCTGTCTTGGCATTCCAGAGGAATTTTTTTCTTTCAGTCTTCTGTACACCCCCTGCATAGAGGCTATTCACTCAGAACATGTAGGAAAGTTGAAATTCTTCTGTCTTTGATCACTTAAGAAAAGCTTTCTCACACAGTGACACATTTGTGAGGATTAGAGCTAGGCAATTTTTTTTCAGACAAATAGTTTATTTGCCGAAAAATGTAGTTTTGGGTCAAGTGAATTTGGGTCAAATTCTGCAACTAATCCAGACAAAAGGAAAAGTGTAAATAAAGAATTCCAAAAATATTGAAATATTTTGACTTTTCTTTTTGTTTAAAAAAAAAAACTTTGTTTCAAAATTTAGCTAGATTAATTTTTTTTAAAAGAATGTAAAATACAAAACAAAATATTTACCCTCAGAAGCAGTGACTCTGAAAAAGATTTGGGGGTCATAGTGGTTTATCAGCTGAACATGGACTCCCAGTGCAATGCAGGGACCAAAAGAACTAATGTGATCCTTGGATCCATACACAGGAATCTCGAATAAAGAGGTTATTTGAACTTTGTATGTGACACTCATGCTACCACTGCTGGTGGAATACTGTGTCCAGTCCTCATTACCACAGTTCAATAAGGATGTTGTTAAACTGAAGAGGGAAGAGAAAACCCGTGAGTGATTAAAGGATTAGAAAATCCTTATAATGCCTTATAAGGATAGATAAAGCCTCATCATTTTTTGTTTGTTGTTTTTTTGTTTTGCTTTTTGGGACTTTCTTATTTAATTTTATCAATGTCTCCCTACCCCCTGGGGGTTGGGTCTCCTCCCCGGAGAGGGATGGTAGGCTTGTATGGGTGGGGGGGTCAGGTCCTTCCTGGAAGGTTGAGAGGCTCCGGGGGGGTGAGGGGTGCTGAGGAGCCTGCC